TTGTTGTGTCTATGCGTGTTGTTGTGTCTGTGCGTGTTGTTGTGTGTTGTGTCTATGCGTGTTGTTGTGTGTTGTGTCTGTGCGTGTTGTTGTGTGTTATGTCTATGCGTGGTGTTGTGTGTTATGTCTATGCGTGGTGTTGTTGTGTGTTGTGTCTATGCGTGTTGTTGTGTCTATGCGTGTTGTGTGTTGTGTCTATGCGTGTTGTTGTTGTGTGTTGTGTCTATGCGTGTTGTTGTGTGTTGTGTCTGTGCGTGTTGTGTGTTGTGTCTATGCGTGTTGTTGTGTCTATGCGTGTTGTGTGTTGTGTCTATGCGTGGTGTTGTTGTGTCTATGCGTGTTGTTGTGTGTTGTGTCTATGCGTGTTGTTGTTGTGTCTATGCGTGTTGTTGTGTGTTGTGTGTTGTGTCTATGCGTGTTGTGTGTTGTGTCTATGCGTGTTGTTGTTGTTGTTGTGTGTTGTGTCTGTGCGTGTTGTTGTTGTGTCTATGTGTATTGTTGTTGTGTCTGTGCGTGTTGTTATGTCTATACGTGTTGTTGTTGTTGTTGTGTCTGTGCGTGTTGTGTGTTGTGTCTATGCGTGTTGTGTGTTGTGTCTATGTGTGTTGTTGTTGTGTCTATGTGTGTTGTTGTTGTGTCTGTGCGTGTTGTTGTTGTGTCTATGCGTGTTGTTGTGTCTGTGCGTGTTGTTGTTGTGTCTATGCGTGTTGTTGTTTCTGTGCGTGTTGTTGTTGTGTCTGTGTGTGTTGTTGTGTCTGTGCGTGTTGTTGTGTCTGTGCGTGTTTTTGTGTCTATGTGTGTTGTTGTGTCTATGTGTGTTGTTGTTGTGTCTGTGTGTGTTGTTGTTGTGTCTATGTGTGTTTTTGTGTCTATGTGTGTTGTTGTGTCTGTGCGTGTTGTTGTTGTTGAGGGTGCACCGCTGTATGCACGGTGTGTGTCCGTTGTACATCGCCACGTATCAATAATTGTACATGGTGTCTATGTAGGTGTACAAGGCGTCTATGTAGGTGTACAAGGTGTCTATGTAGGTGTACAAGGTGTCTATGTAGATGTACAAGGTGTCTATGTAGATGTACAAGGTGTCTATGTAGATGTACAAGGTGTCTATGTAGATGTACAAGGTGTCTATGTAGGTGCACAAGGTGTCTATGTAGGTGTACATGGTGTCTATGTAGGTGTACATGGTGTCTATGTAGGTGTACAAGGTGTCTATGTAGATGTATAAGGTGTCTATGTAGGTGTATAAGGTGTCTATGTAGATGTACAAGGTGTCTATGTAGGTGTACAAGGTGTCTATGTAGGTGTACAAGGTGTCTATGTAGATGTACAAGGTGTCTATGTAGGTGTACAAGGTGTCTATGTGGGTGTACAAGGTGTCTATGTAGATGTACAAGGTGTCTATGTAGATGTACAAGGTGTCTATGTAGGTGTACAAGGTGTCTATGTAGATGTACAAGGTGTCTATGTAGATGTACAAGCTGTCTATGTAGATGTACAAGGTGTCTATGTAGATGTACAAGGTGTCTATGTAGGTGTACAAGGTGTCTATGTAGGTGTACAAGGTGTCTATGTAGATGTACATGGTGTCTATATAGATGTACAAGGTGTCTATGTAGGTGTACAAGGTGTCTATGTAGGTGTACAAGGTGTCTATGTAGGTGTACAAGGTGTCTATGTAGATGTACAAGGTGTCTATGTAGGTGTACAAGGCGTCTATGTAGGTGTACAAGGTGTCTATGTAGGTATACAAGGTGTCTATGTAGGTGTACAAGCTGTCTATGTAGGTGTACAAGGTGTCTATGTAGATGTACAAGGTGTCTATGTAGATGTACAAGGTGTCTATGTAGGTGTACATGGTGTCTATGTAGGTGTACAAGGTGTCTATGTAGGTGTACATGGTGTCTATGTAGATGTACAAGGTGTCTATGTAGGTGTACAAGGTGTCTATGTAGATGTACAAGGTGTCTATGTAGATGTACAAGGTGTCTATGTAGGTGTACAAGGTGTCTATGTAGATGTACAAGGTGTCTATGTAGGTGTACAAGCTGTCTATGTAGGTGTACAAGGTGTCTATGTAGGTGTACAAGGTGTCTATGTAGGTGTACAAGGTGTCTATGTAGGTGTACAAGGTGTCTATGTAGGTGTACAAGGTGTCTATGTAGATGTACAAGGTGTCTATGTAGGTGTACAAGGTGTCTATGTAGATGTACAAGGTGTCTATGTAGATGTACAAGGTGTCTATGTAGGTGTACATGGTGTCTATGTAGGTGTACAAGGTGTCTATGTAGATGTATAAGGTGTCTATGTAGGTGTATAAGGTGTCTATGTAGATGTACAAGGTGTCTATGTAGGTGTACAAGGTGTCTATGTAGGTGTACAAGGTGTCTATGTAGGTGTACAAGGTGTCTATGTAGATGTACATGGTGTCTATATAGATGTACAAGGTGTCTATGTAGGAGTACAAGGTGTCTATGTAGGTGTACAAGGTGTCTATGTAGGTGTACAAGGTGTCTATGTAGATGTACAAGGTGTCTATGTAGGTGTACAAGGCGTCTATGTAGGTGTACAAGGTGTCTATGTAGGTATACAAGGTGTCTATGTAGGTGTACATGGTGTCTATGTAGGTGTACAAGGTGTCTATGTAGGTGTACAAGCTGTCTATGTAGGTGTACAAGGTGTCTATGTAGGTGTACAAGGTGTCTATGTAGATGTACAAGGTGTCTATGTAGGTGTACAAGGTGTCTATGTAGGTGTACAAGGTGTCTATGTAGGTGTACAAGGTGTCTATGCGATGGGCACGTTGTGTCGCGTTGTGTACACTGTGTGTGCTATTGTGTATACAGTGCTGCTGTTACCTCATGGTGTTTAAACTGCGTTGTTGTGTTTACTGTGTTGTTGTTACGGCACCATCATCGTTACACATACACAGGGTCGATAAAACCAGTACCACGTCTGTGTCTTGTGTGTCTATCGGCTGCGTTGTGTTATGTTTCGTGTTATGGTTTTAATTGTGTCTATCTGGTAATGTTGTGTTGTTGCTGTATATTGTAGTGTCTGGCACAACATCGCGGTTATATTTTACGGTGCAGTGTGTATGACGCTTAATTGTCTTGTTGTTGTTGTGACATTGAGTAGGGGACTGTGCCGTACACAGTACTGTAGTGGACTGTATAAGAGTACTGTATAGAGTACTGTAGTGGACTGTAGTGGACGATATAGAGTACTGTAGTGGACTGTCAACAGTACTGTAGTGGACTGTATAGAGTACTGTAGTGGACTGTCAACAGTACTGTAGTGGACTGTATAGAGTACTGTATAGAGTACTGTAGTGGACTGTAGTGGACGGTATAGAGTACTGTAGTGGACTGTAAAGAGTACTGTAGTGGACTGTCAACAGTACTGTAGTGGACTGTATAGAGTACTGTAGTGGACTGTATAAAGTACTGTATAGAGTACTGTAGTGGACTGCCAGTGCAGGACACACGTGACCGCTTGACCCCCCCTACATATGAACCCCTCATACCCCCCCCCCCACTCTATCCCCCCTCTCTCTACCGCCCCCCTACAACCGCAGCTGCACCCCTGACCCCTGACCCCATGGCCCCCCCGTGTCCGTGCCGGGCGGCGTCTCACCAGGCCCCCCCACCCCCGTGCCCTCCCCCCGTGCCCCCCTCCCTCTCTGTCGCCCTTCGCCTCCTGCACCCCCCCCACCCCCATGAACATCGCTCCGAGATCGCGCCATACAGGAAACACGGCTCATGATGTGCTCTGAAGAAGGGCCACAGCCCGAAACGTCGCCTATATATTTTTTCCTTTTAATGCCACACACGCATACGCGCGCGCGGTGTTGCTGTTGACGAACACGTCGAGTTGCATTTCCATATCAAGAAACAAATCTTCGTCTTCATCGTCATCATCGCTACTCACGTGGCTGCTGCCCGTAGCCCCAGCGCTGTGGAGGCAGCAGCGAGGGGTTGGTGGATCACCTCGACAGATGTTGTTGTGAAACTCCCTCCTACCCTTGGGTGGGCGTCGAGCAAGAGCCGTGACCCTGACTCGCCAGGAGAAGGCGGCACAGCAGAGTGGGGACTAATCGCCATCTGTTTCCATCTGTACGGGGACTAATCGCCATCTAGTTTCTATCTGTACGGGGAACTAATCGCCATCTGTTTCTATCTGTACGGGAACTAATCGCCATCTGTTTCTATCTGTACGGGGACTAATCGCCATCTGTTTCTATCTGTACGGGGGTGTGGGGTGGAGCGTTGTTGCGACCTCGCGCACGTGCGCAATAAACACGACGCCTCATCATCGCCGAGGGGCTGCAAACTTAAAACCCAATGCAGGCAGGACCCTCCTCAAAAAGCGAGTTAACTAAATCACATTTGTTTTAGATTTTACCAGGCAAGCCCCGCTGAGCTACAAAGCTCTTTCCCAGAAGCGAGCTGGCCACAAATGACAGCTTCACGGCGAGGATTATCACGTGGCAATTCACAGCAGCAGCCGAAGAATACTTGAGACACGCGTTTCCACGACTCACGGTGGCTCCCCTGGACTTCAAAACAAATCATTACCCCCCCCCCCGACCAACCACGGCTGAACTCTCCCCTTTAACCTCGTGGTCGCGTGCATTATCTCTCCAGATCCTCCGCTTTTTCCTTCCACATTTAGAACCACGCATTGAGATAATTCCAGGTGATTTTGGTGCTATAATTGTCCAAATGACGGGCCACTTTATTGAGATATAATTTGTGGCCAGGTGGCTTCTGAAAAATAATACCTGAGTGGGCTTTGCCTGCATGGATGGGGATGGTTTAGTTTTGTTTGTTTGGCCGATTTGTTGACCTTGTACTTTGCCCGACTAATCGATGTTTATTGCTGTTCACCTTCTTACCCGGCCCCTTCTGGTCATGTCAAAAAGAGCTTCATGGCTCATCGGATTCTTCCAGGATAAATATTCCGATTCTGAATGTCCACCCCCCCCCCATACCGCACATCAGCAGCCCTGGCCCCGCTGTCGGTGCCCCGCCGCGTGGGCCACCCGTACCAGAACCGCACGCCGCCCAAGCGCAAGAAGCCGCGCACGTCCTTCTCGCGGCTGCAGGTGTGCGAGCTGGAGAAGCGCTTCCATCGGCAGAAGTACCTCGCCTCCGCCGAGCGCGCCGCCCTCGCCAAGGGCCTCAAGATGACCGACGCGCAGGTCAAGACGTGGTTCCAGAATCGGCGCACCAAGTGGAGGTGCGTGGGGGGTGGGGGGGGCGGTGCGTGGGGTTACGGGGCGGGCGCTCCATTCCATTGATGACGAGAAGAATCTGATGAATAAATAAAGATTTTGATGCGAGGAGTGCGGGGCATGGGGACGGGGAAAAGTAGGGGGCTCACCAATTCCTTCATCGTTCTCGTCCAATGTCCGTCTTGCGTGTGTGCATGATGTGCACCCCCAACTCTACTCCCACTGATCCTCTCTCCTCGATTGCCCCCCTCCCCCCAATTCCTATGCCGCCCCATGTCACCCTTTCACCCGTGCCCCCCATCTCCTCCGTGCGCACGCGGCTGCGGCGGCCCAGACGTCAGACGGCGGAGGAGCGCGAGGCCGAGAGGCAGCAGGCCAACCGGCTGCTGCTGCAGCTGCAGGCGGAGGTGCAGTTCCCCAAGGCGCTGCACGGGGGGGGAGGGGGGCCGCAGGGGGCCCGCGAGGGGGGCCCCGCCGACCGCGTCTGCCTTCACAACGCGTCGCTCTTCGCGCTGCAGAACCTCCAGCCCTGGGCCGAGGAGCAGGGGGAGATCGCGCCCGTCGCCTCCCTCGCCTCCGCTCTCTAGCGGGACCCCCGCGGGGCCCTGGAGGGGGGTCCCCCGCCCCCCCTTCCCCCCCATATTCTCATGGGGGCCCTGTCCCTCCGACTGACCCTGCCTCTCCCTCCCGCTGAACCTGCCTCTCCCTCTCGTGAAGGCCCCGACCCTGTCTCTCCCTTATTGCCCCCCCCCCCTGACCATCCCAAGCCTCCCTTCCCTGGGGGCCCGGCCCCTCCCACTGACCCTGCCTCTCACTCCCTGGGGGGCCCCATCACCCTCCCGCCAACCCCAACTCCCATCCCCAAGGCCCCTGTGACCCTCCCACCTCCAGGACGGCCCCCGCATCCCGAGCGAGCTGCCGTGACGGAGGGAGCTGTAAATAGTAGTGTATGTACTGTACATGTGTGATCGTGAGATTTGTTTTAAGGGGGGCAGTGGGGGGGGGGGCGTTTTATGAGAACACGAAATCGAACTTTAAACGGGAATCGGAGAAGTTGAAGGGACGGGGGGAGACACGAGCCGCTACAACTGCGGCGACCGCACCGAGCGCTGGCAGTGCAACCGTAAACCCGGGCCCCACGTGCTGGAGGGGGGCCCCACGTGCTGGAGGGGGGCCCCACGTGCTGGAGGGGGGCCCCACGTGCTGGAGGGGGGCCCCACGTGCTGGAGGGGGGCCCCACGTGCTGGAAGGGGGCCCCACGTGCTGGAGGGGGGCCCCACGTGCTGGAGGGGGGCCCGGGGTGCTGGAGGGGGGCCCGGGGTGCCGGGCTACCGCCCCGCGCCACCGACGGCACGACGCAACTCGACCGCATCAACCGCAGCGGCTCGACCGCGGAATCGTGGGAACCCGCACCGGGTCGACCCCCGTGGAACTTGCGTGGAGTCGACAGCACCAACAACAGCAACCGCAGAGCACGCCACAACCACGGAGCGCACCACAACCACAACCACGGAGCGCGCCACAACCACGGAGCGCGCCACAACCGCACCGACTCGAGCAAAACCCAGCTCCACCATGGGGACCACGCCGACGCATCCGCCCCGAGGATGGCGAGGATGGGGGGCGGGGGGGCACGAACTCCGTAACCCTGGCGATGCCGTGTGTCTGTACCGCGTTCTCGCGTCGTCGTTGTCGTCGTCGTCGTGATGGTGCTGCCACTGCGCTCTTCGCGCTGGGGGTGACGCTGACCGTGACAGTCTGACCAGGACGCCACCCCCTCCCGGCTCGGCCCCCATTTTAGGTTTCACCCAGACTCCAACACGACAACCCCACGTCCTGCCCCCCTCAACCCTGACTTCTGACTTCTGACCTTTGACCGGGACCTCTGGCATGTGGGGTCATGCGGAGCTGCGATGAATTTGGCAGCGGCGAAACCAGAAGCGTGAATAAAAGAGGACCGACGCGGACCCAGGTGGTGAAAGTGGCTCTGTGTACACGCACACGCACGCACACGCACACACACGCACACACACACACACGCACACACACACGCACACACAAACACACACAAACACACACACACAACAAACACACACAAACACGCGTGTACCTAGCCATGTACACAGACACACACAAACACACTCAAACACACAAACACACACACGCGTGTACCTAGCCATGTACACAGACACAAACACACACACAAGCACACACAAACAGGCTGAATTGACTGACTGGTTCAAGATATTCGTCACCAATTTTGGCCACGAGCGGGAATCGAACTGGAGGTCGGCGGGTTGCAGTGCACCAACCACTGCGTCACCGACCCGCACTGTCCACAAATGTGCGTACACGTTTATCTGAACGTGTAAACAGATACAGCGTTGTGTACTCACAAGTGCGACTTATAGCTGCTTAATTTTTTAACTTGCTTGTTCAATTTGAACAAAAACAACTTTTGGGGGTCATGTTTTTATTTTTACAGAATAATCTTGGTATTTTTCACCGTCCCTAAGTAAACTCAGCGCACACACACACACACAACATGATTACAATTTTTAGATTTTTAAAATTGACTTTGGGTAATATCACGCATCAATCATCATTATAACGACGACGATGTTTCACGTGAAGTGTGTATACAGTTACGAGACGTGAAAGCACCTGACCGGGCATGAGAGGTGGACATCAACAGAACCTGCGGGGCAAAGTGAACCACAGGCACGTGGACACAACCACCTCACGACACCACCACGCCGCATCACTCCGACCAACCGCCGGTGACCACACCGACCATACCACGCCACGATCGCACCACCGTGCGGGAGCAACACCGCACATGCACAGCTAACTGCACCTCCCATTAGCACTGTCGGCTACGTACGGTTGGAAAGAAGTTCAACATACACGCGGTACAGCACCACGTGTCCCACATGCGTCACCGCGTCATCCTCACGTGTCCCCCCGCGTCTCCCCATCCCCCCCCCCCCCCGTGCGTGTCCGTGTCACCAGTCGCGCTCGTGCGGCTCCCGAAACGGGAGCTCCAGCAGCTCGAAGACGGAGCGTTCCGTCGGCGTCGCCAGCGCCACCCCCGCCCCCACCTTCCCCCCGCCCCCACCCCTCGCCACCCCCGAGCTCAGGGCGCGCTCCGATAGACTCATGCCTGCGTGGCAGAGGGAGGGACATGCGGGGGGACACGAGTCTCAGCGCGAGTGGATAAGTGGGTTAGCAGGTGAGCGTGTGTGGCTGGGTGTGTGAGCGGCTGCGTGGTTGAGCGGATGAGTGCGTGTAAGATCGCGCGAGGTGGCGGGAGGCAAGCGAGCCTGTGGATGAGCGGAAGAACGAGCGAGCGGTTGGACGGGCGAGCGAACGAGCGAGCACCTCGCGTGCGAGCCAACGCTCGCATGGAGCGATTGAAGTGCGCCGAGCCGGTGAAGTATAGCAGGGCGCACGCGAACTCGGCGTGCGGCACCGCGATGAGGTCGAGGCGGCGGTGCCGGGACGCAGGCCCCGGCAGGCGGCACACGCCCATGTACTTGTGCTGCGAGCCGCCCTCGTCGTGCGACACCAGGTCATCCGTGAGGAAGCCTGCTCGCACAAGGACAAAGGTCACGTAGCCTCAACAGTGCTGTTAGCGAGCACCTACGAAGGCCGGCACGGCCAGAATAATTCCTGGCCGCCTTTGTCTCCCTACGCATCTTACCTGGCACTCATTTGAGGATGAGTTGATATCCAAACCAAGACTGGTTTCAATATTCGTCGCTGGTGTTGGCCGTGAGTGGGAATTGAACTCGGGTTGCTGGGTTTGTAGCGTAGCGCGCTGGCACTACTGCTCCGACAACAACAGCCGCCATTTGAACACACAAGCATACATGTGCGCACACACACACACACGTACATCCGCACGTAAAATCACGTACACGCAGACCACACGTACACGCACCATCCGAGCCGCACTCGCAGGTGGCTGTGCTGCAAACGGTGGTGCAGATGATCCTGGTGCCACCGAAAGTTCTAGTTCTCCGCGTGATGTGTGGTAATGCTGGTGGTGCCGGGGGTGCACGGTGTTGCGCGGCGGTACAAGCGGTGTCGGCTGTGGGTCGGCGGCGCCGTTAGTGCGGGGAGCGGGGCGGGCGCTACCAGAGGCGTGCAGGCTGGCGAGGATGCGGGGCAGCGCCAGGGCGTGCGAGCGCCCGTCGGGGTGGGTCACCAACACGTCCACGTCGCCGCACGAGCTCTTCCCGCGGCGGTACGAGCCGCACGCCACGCACAGTAGCGCCGCGTCCACCGCGAGGGCCGCCGTGCACACCTAACCACGCCCGCCGCCACAACAATGACTACCGCACCGGCACACAAACCACGGCGGCCACAACCAACCACGATCCCTGCAGAGCGGCGCTGCCTCTTCTGCCACGGCAAGCGGTACCAACGCCTTACCGCACCAACCACGCAACACCGCGACAACCGCATCGACGCACAAACCATGGCGACCACTTCCAATCCAGCAACCACGACAGCCTCCAATACACAAACCGCGGCAACCGGCAACAGCCACAATAACGAAAACTAATACCACCGCTAAATAGGAAATAATTACACTGTAAGCATGAATTATACAACGCGTTCCAACACTGATATTCAACTGGCCTCACCGTGCGCTCGATGTCGTGGGCCTCCGCACGGGGCATGCGCAGCAGGAGGTCGTCGTAGTGACGGAGGCCGATCTGCTGCTGCCGCGTCAGCGTTTCTCGCGCCCGCACGTCGTCCAGCGTCCGCAGGCCCTGCTCGACAAAGACAAAGATCCCCCTAATAGCCTTTAACGGACTGTTGCGGCAAGTGCTGTTATAGAGCGCCTATGAGGGCCGGCACAGCACACGAGGGCGTAGGTGGCCAACACCACACCCGGCCACCGTTGTATACCCAGTAGCGATGTTTACACACCGCACCAGGTACTCATTTGAGACTGAGCCAACCTAAGGGAGGCCCAGGACCGTTTCAGATAATCGTCACCGATGTTGGCCGGATCGCCGGGTTCGTAGTGCAGAGCGCTAACCACCAGTACACTAGAGCTCCCCATGCTCAACACACACACGTGTGTACATGTGTGTGTACACGTGTGTACACACGCGTGTGTCTGCGCATAAGCGTACACACGCAAACCTACTGGAACCTCGCACTGACCCCACCTGACACGCCAGGTGGGGTCAGTGCTTGTTCCACCACCCTGATACGAACAATGACCCCGCCAAATATGCAGCAACTCTAACCATCGCTATACAGGAGTTTAAACCTTTAACATCCAACCACATTCGTCCTTCACACCCCACCACTCACCCTACCACACACCCCACCATACACCCCATTGCAAAACGCACTAACCCCCCCACTCACCCACCTCACATGCCGATACTGTACCCCTAACCTTTAGCGCTGAACTCGCCAAACTCAGCGATGCCCGAAGCCTCGCCCTGCGCTAACCACCCCCGTCTCACACAATGGTCACCTAACCCTCACGCACAAATCTGTACCCCAACCTCGACTCTGCCTTGCACGCTAGCCCCCACAACCGAATACCCAGACCCCCCCCCCCCCACCCCCCCGCCGCACCTGCTGGTACCAGGCCTGCGCCGTCTTGCTGCCGACGCCCCAGATGTCGGTGAAGGTGGCGATGACGCCCACGCTGGGGTCCAGGTGCTGCAGCTGGCGCAGCTCCCCGCTCTGCGCGATCTCCGCCACCTTCTTGGCGAGGCGCTCTCCCACGCCCGGCAGCGCACACGCCTCCTGCGCGCGTAAACATGCACGTACCAACACGCTCGCACGCGTTCACTTGTGCACACGTGAACAATGACAGCGGCGGGCACTGTTCACCGCTTTAAGTGGAGGCGATGTTGCCACGATGGTAGAGCCAGGCTAGGTGCACTTTGTACTTTGAGGTCATGTGAAGTCTTAAAGACTTGCTGGCAGGAGAGTTATGGGTTAGGCCAAGGTGTCAACCGACTGCGATCACTTCGCTCCCCACTGTGACAGCTTGTTGCGTCTTTATCCGCCTGACACTCCGAGCGTCGCTCCTCTACCCTCCGATCTTGCTGGAGGGCGACGACCTCCAACTGCCCAGTAGCGACCTTCACGAGCTTCCTCCACGAAGGCCGACCTTCGACACCGCTAGTACCAGCCATCGGCAAAGTCCACTCAGCTCCGCATCCTCCCG